GTTATGGTATAAAAAAATTTGTTCATGATAGTAAAATTTTTTAAGAATATAGACTGATAGACTGCACATTTTTCAATCCATTTGCTAACATATAAACAAAACTAAAAATCTCATTTATTGAAAAAAGTTTATGGAAATTAGCATTTTATAAACGACTATCAAACCTGAAAATAAATGTTTTTAAATTATGATAGCTAGTTCAAACTTTCTTTCTATAATAAAGTAACCCAATCCAATTTATTTGTTAATAATAAAAGGGAAATTGCAATCTATATTACCTATAGGTTATCTAATTCGTTATCTAACATACAATAAATTAAAATGTACTAATTAACAATATGAGGTTTTGATTTTCCGTTTTTACCCTTAATGAAAATTAATAAAGATATCGATATAGATAACTATGTTTCTAATTATAGTTAACTATGTTCAGAATCTAGAAACTATGTTTCTGATAAATAGTTAACTATATATTTTATTTTTTTCATTATGCAAATTATAATAGATAACTACGTTTTGAACATAGTTAACTATTTTTGTTTAAATAAGTAACTATTACAACAACATTTTCATGTAGTCATTTATGTTATGAAATTGGTAGAGTAGACAACTATGTTATGAAAATAGTTAACTATATTTTTAAATTGGTAACTATTTTCTGGATAAATAGTTAACTATGTTTTAGATAGTTACAAAATAGTGTGAGATAGTTAAGTATCTTCTGAGATGGATAGAATATGAAGTTTCAAAAATATAGTCAACTATGTCATTAAAAACAGTTAATATTTTCATGGATTCATGTAGGGATAATTCGTCTCTTATTTAATTCTCTCTGCTGCTTATCTAATTCTATTTTTTTACATGTTATTTTCCTAATTTTGTCTTCCAAAAAATATATTCAGCTGATTAACCCATATAAAAATGAGAAATTTTGAAAAAATACTATTTTTGAAGTGCTAGTTTTCAAAAATGCCACATTTTCAAAATCTTTGCAAAAATACCACTTTTTCAAAATTATTTATTAATTATATTATTTATGTTTGGGTTAATTATGTTGTATTAGGGTTTAGTTTTGAAGATCTAAGATCTGTTAGGGATCAAAACATTTTGTAGGATTTAAAATTTTAGGATTTAGATTTTAAAAATTTATAATTAGCGATATTTTTGTAAATAAATAACTCCATTTTTGCAAAGTATCACAAATGGCAGTTTTAAAATTGTCCCTAGTAATTCCTTTGCTATCAAGCCCATATAGCTTCATCATTAAGGCCCAAAATAAACTCGAGAAGAAAAAAAACTCAGACCGGCAAGAGCGGAGCGGGGATCACAAAAGCAAAAACTCTAATCGTTGATCTCCGCACGTTCATCGGAATTTTCGTACAATCGTCTGAATCTTCTTCCTCAAGCTTTCTTCCATTCTCTGAATCTCTTCTTCGCTTACGAAAAAAACCTCGAAGCTTATCGTCCACCATTCTCCGGTAACAAATGTCTAGTCTCCTTCTTTTTCGTCTTTCTTCTCCGGCCAATGCTTGTCGAATTCGGAATGTCTAGTTTCATTCCACGCCTCTGCTAAATGATTTTGAGATCTATGACTACGAATCCGTCATTGATTTGTCGTTAAGAGATATCTCGAATCTGCGAACTATTGGATTATAGCAATGTACTTGTACGGTCTTAGATTCCTTTTCCTGCGAAGCAATTAGTGAATCCAGCCAATAGCTTTAGCTAGATTTTTTTTATGTGTACACAA